TCCTTGCGGTCAGTGCCCTCGGTGGCGAACTCCTCCACGATGCCCTCGGGGCTGATACCATGCTCAGCGCACAGTTGTTTCCAGAACTCGAACCCAACTGGTAAGGGGGGGAGGGGCGGACGGGCGAGAAAGAGGACGTCTGGGTCTGGGCAGATTCCAACCAGAAACTGGGGGACTGAGCGCTCGCGAGTCTCCCATGTCAGAGGAAAGGGCTGTACGCCAGCGACTGGGAGGGGAGGGCCCCTCAAGGTTGGGCAACTGGACACTGGGTCAGGCATGTCCCGCCTTTGGAAAACTACGATTGTGGGAAGGGCGGATGGAGTCCAGGATCCCGCAGTGAGATCCCATAGAATCTAAGGAACCTGACTAGTGGAGGGGCCGGAGGTTCGCTCACTCTGATTGCCGCACTGGCCCAACTGTAGGGTGATGATTTCCCTCGGCATCGTCGCTCCAGCACCGGTGTTGCAGCCGCTCCCGCCAGCCAAGCCGCGGCTAGCCAGCCGCTAGCTGCACGACGCAGGCGCCAAACAACCCGCTCCGCCCTCGAACTTTCTCCGCTCCAATGAGAACTGAGTTCTGGCGATGGCAGGGCCTCATTCATGTGGCTTCAGTGAAGCAGACTGCGCGTGTGCAGCTCCTGGTCGGGCTCTGCGCCGCGGCGCGGCGCGGGGGACGTACTTTGACGCAGCGTTCTCTTTGGGAGGACGTGAGGTAGAGCTTGTGCGCAGGCGCACTATGGAGGGACGAGGCCTCCCCCGCGGAATCGCGCATCTGCGCAGTCGGTGTTTATTGTGACCGACGGGCCGCGGCCCCGGATGTTGTGGCTCCCGGGGGGGAGATGGCGGAGGCAGAGGGGGTGGCCGCGGCCCCAGGCCCAGCTTCGGGGCCTACTTTGAGGGGTCGCCGCACTATGTCAGGCTCCTGGGAGCGAGACCAGCAGGTTGAGGCGGCGCAGCGGGCCCTGGTGGAGGTGCTGGGGCCTTACGAGCCTCTGCTGAGCCGGGTGCAGGCAGCCCTGGTGTGGGAGCGGCCAGCCAGGAGCGCCCTGTGGTGCCTGGGGCTGAACGCGGCTTTCTGGTGAGAGAACTGGACCCTCGGAAACCCTTCCAGGCGCGAATTCGTCAGGTTTCTCTAGGGCTCTACCTCTCGCCTCTCCTGTTTTCTTCGCTGCCTTGGCTCCTTCCAGTACCTGCCTAATTTTGCCTCACCTCCTTCCAGTCCATTCCTCCTGCAGGCTTTGGCATCGCAGTTCTCCCCAGGGCTTTCCAGTTATCTTCCCTGCTTTACTTGCTCCCGCACCCTTGCCCCGCACATCTGGCAGGAGCTTCTGGTAACATCTTGAGCCGCTCGAAGCGAGCGAGGACGCCTCATTTTGGCTAGGGAAAGCTGTGTCACTTAAGGCCATCACTTCCCGTCTCTTGTCCGCTCAAATGTGGTTTGAAGACCATTCTCAGAGCTTTGATTTTAGTAGTTGTTATATTGGGGTAGAGGCATGAGGCGTGAGGTCTTGCAAAAGTATCCAAAGGTGTGATAAGAAAACAAGCTTGAGTGATCTGAATTAGCACGTTAGTTATCCTTTCCCTGCTCAAGGGAGTTTATGAAGTCTGAGCGTCAATGAGAGCCTCCAGAGCTGCAACTTGAAAGAAAATTATAAGCTTTTGAAGAACAGTTATGAAATAGTGGTAAATTTCACCCGTCTCAAAGCCACTTAACGATTGCATCTCCTCCCTGTTCCAAGGAATTAGACATCTTTCTTTAGGCACGGTTTATAGGCAAGGAGATTGAGGATGCCTAATAGCGTGTGTGAGTTTTCCTGAGCTGCCAAAGGGAAACTATAAATATGCTTTAAGAGTCTGTGTGCCGTGCTGTGCGAAAATGAAACTGCTGCTTTTCAGTTGTCATCCCCTAAAGAGGACATAGGTCTTCATACGGTCTGCTAAGCATAGTTTGGAATTGTTCATAAGTAGGAAAGGATTATTCACCAAATTCCAAGGGAACTGAAGTATAGGGGGGCTTCTACAGCTGAATGAAATAAACCTATTCTGGATGAACCTGAAATGAAACGAAGTATGTGTTTCCAAAGAAAATGTGTTTTTGCTAAAAGTACGTTTTCCTGAAATTCTTGGTTTTAGAACCAAAACATTTATTATCCTTTGTCTGAAAGATTTTCAGTGAACTGGAGCAAAATAATGTCAAATTCATTGATAGACACAAGGTTCAGCTATTAAGTTAAGCCTCTCACAGTCTGAAGGGGACTCAGGTTTGAGGTGTCAGAGCAGTCTCTGGCATTAGTTGCTTCCGGAGTCTCTAGCAAACTTGATGATAAAATTTTCCTACAGCATTCTTCATTTATTTTTGGTTGTGCTTCTTTGATCCCCAGGTACCTACTTCCTTCCTTTTCTTTCTTTGGCAGAAACCTTTAAGTGTAGCACCTCAATCAGGAGCATTTCCCAAAATGACGTTTTCTTGCTTTCCCCCACCTCCCCCATCACAACTCCTAACCCCAAACCATTCAGCCAAAACTTCATTTCCTACATTGAGATTGTACTCCTAGGGGAGAAAAAATTGGCCCTTAATAAACCAGTTTGTATCCAAGTGTGATTGGCTAATATATAAAAACTTCATCAAGGTTTATTAATACAAATGAGTCAGCATGTATGTTGTTATTTTTGAGGAGGGGACTTTCCATATGCCCCTTGCCTGAGAGATTTTTTAAAAAACATTTATTCATTTTTTTAGAGAGATGGAGACCAAGTGTGAGTGAGGGAGGGGCGGAGAGAGGGAGACTTAGAATCAGACTCCCAGCTGTCAGCACAGAGCCTGACACGGGGCTCAAACTCATGGCTAGATCAAGACCTGAGCTGAGAACGCTCAACCAACTGAGCCACCCAGGTGCCCTGCTTGAGAGATTTTTGAAGTAGAATGTGGAGTGGAGGTCTGTATTTATAGGGAGCTGCTCTCCTATGTGATTGAGACACATCTTTGAATGTTACAGTTAACTTTAATTTTCTGGCCCCCAACAGTGTTTGCTTAAGTTTACTAATATTCTATGTTTAGAATCTCACTCAGCTCCCCTTTTTGTAGTCTTGGTCGTGATTGGTCTTTGTCTCTGGCATTTCCTGCTAGGTTGCCTACTGAGTATCCAGAACATGGTTACTGTTGTTACATTCCCATCACTCTCTACTAGGTACAGAAGAGCTATAGCAAAATAAAAGTGTGACTCTTGAGACTCTTATACTTTATGGAGAGAGGACTCATCTCCATGAAGGCTACAGAGTGACTGATAGTGTTAAACCCTCAGAGACTAAGGTAGTTTGGTATTGGAATTCATAGCATTGTTGTTTTAGGAAATGAGCTTCCTTGGAAGACAATTTGAGGCTCAAAATGAAAGTTAGACTTGACATTCTGGTAGCATCATGTTGTACATGTCAACATGTGTTGACATTTCAGTTAGGAATGCCAAAGACTGACTGTTTAGTTCTCGGACATTATAAATGTTTAGAAAATGTAAGAGGATCATTGGCTCAGGTCACAGAGAAATTGTCTGAAATTTTTTTCCCTTGTTTTAAATGATGGTACATCATTAACTGTGGTGTTTTATGCATTTTGAGGTATTAGAAGATTGGATAGGAGTACAAAAAATCCAAATTCAGGTAGGTAGTCACTCTTAATTTTCAGTGTTCTGTATTCTCAGTCAAGGTTTTTCTGTACGTGTGAATGTGCCCTCTTACATCTTAATAAAACAAAAGCAACAGCAGCGTAAAAGAGATGGATGTAAATGCCTTGCCTCTGTAGTATTTCAGGTCTTTCAGTCTTTTTTATTTTTTCTTCAGGTTTCAGAGCAGTTATGGTGATTATATCGGAAATCTTTCAGCCTGTGTTGCTTCTGGTTACTGACATGTTATGATCTTTAGGATAATAACAGAAATGTCAGGCCTTCCTTTCCAATAGCTTGTGTTTTCATTAACCTCAGCACCACCTGTAAAGGAGTGATTTGGAGGAAGAATATTGGAGTCAGCCAGAGTGTATCCTGACAGGATCAGAAAAAAACAGGTTGAAGTAACCTGTTGGTTTAACTCAGATCTAGGAGATCGGGGAAGCACTAAGGAGCCCTGGACGTGTGTGTGCATTCCAAGCCCTCCCCCTTCTATGAAGAGGCACATGATTCAAGGAGGATTAGATGGCTTCAGAGCTCCTTTCCAGTCTTTAACATTCTAGGATTCTAGACCGTCTTTCAATTAAGGATATCGATTTAGAGCAATCACAAGCTGATTCCCTATTGAGATCTGCTTTTACAATGATTTGTCTCAGTTAACCATACCATCTTCTAGGGATATCATGGAATCTGTTGTTTTCACGATTAAAAAAATAAAGATGTTCTCTTTCCCCCCAAAAGAATCCAAATACAAAAATGACCAAGTAGTGATTAAAGCAATTCTGATTTAAAAGTTTAGAATATGAATGAAAAATAATAGGGACAGGAAATGGAAGGCAGGGCCCAGTTAAATAGAGGCATTTGTTCTGTGAGAAAAATTTACACGTCAAATTTCAGATGAAACATACTGAGCAAATGCTTCTCATGCTGGTCTTTGGAGGGTTCTTGTTGCTTTTGGTAGCCAAGGAGACTCCCAGGGGTGCCTTGGCTTACTGTTTTGCCTGTCTTCCGCCATTAGTTTTTATCTGTGCTAATTTTAAGGTTGGGTGCTTTCTGTCCATTACCATAAAGTAGGTGTTTAGCAACTAGCTGGTTTCATTTCTGGTTTTGTGTAAGCAACAACTATCACTAAATTATGTGGGTTGGGTTAATTTTTTTCATACTGATTTACCAGTGACTAGCTCATTAACCAGATGGCCACAAGTGCCGTACAATAATGGGCTTTTTGTCCCTATAGGATGGGATGCTTTGTTCTGAAGTGCCAGTGAGACAAGCCTACTCTGTAATAACAAAGAAACCCAGAAATAGTATCTTCTTTGGTTGAAGATAGACATGTGCTCTTTATTTTATTTATGATATAGCAAACTCTAATTCACCTGTACTAATTATGAAGATCCGTGGTATAATTAACCTCAAAGAAAATTGTTTGGTTTTGGAATTTCTCTTGATTTTTCTGGAAACCAGGTTGTTTTTCCAAGGAATATTTCTTATTCAGAGAGATAATTGAATTTTAACCCCTAATAAAGGGGGTGAAAAGTTTACAGAAGGAAAAAAGTAGAAAATAATGAATCAATGGATATATAACATTTCACTCTCGTTAGTAATTAAAAATTTGAATGTAAATGGCAGTGAGTTACTAATTTCTGCTTATTTTTTTTAATGGTAGTATTTAATTCTGGGGAAAGTATGTAAAAGCTGGTATATGATTGATAGCAACATAAATTCAATGATCTTTCTGAAAGGTAATTAGGCAACATGTATTAAGACACCTAAGGGGCATCTGGGTGGCTCAGTCCCATGTCAGGCTCTGTGCTGACAGCTCAGAGCTTGAAGCCTGCTTTGGATTCTGTGTCTCGCTCTCTTTCTGCCCCTCCCCTGCTTATGCTCTCTCCCT